CAGTCAAAAAAGAATCATTACTCATCCAGTCTGAACCAGTGCCAGAACCTGAACCGGAACTTGAACTGGAACCTAAATTAAATTCTCGAGAAATCGACTACTTATATTTTGATAACGGATCGTTGATGTTAAGCACATTCCAACTAGTCTATTTCTTCTTCTTTCTCTTTTTCCTTCTTTCACACTGTTATTTGTAAGAATTGTTATTAGTATTATTATTACTTTGCTATTGTACGACTGTTATAGGTTAAAGTGCTTTTCACATTGTATATAAGAAATTCTGATCTGTGCGAATGGGAGAAAAGACAAAGAGAAATGTTTCAGATTTGAGTCATTGAATCAAATCTTTAAAATTTTGAATTAAGTGAAATATCCTAGCAAAGAGCTAAAGTTTTCACTCAAACCAAAATTTATTTAATTACTACTTTAGCTTATTTTTTGGATTGGTTTATTTTCTATTCTACAACAATCATTTGTTTACTAACATTGTCAATACTGAAAGATCTGTCAAAGTATGACTAAGTCATCTGAAAATGAATATATAAGGGAGGATGAAAAGTTGCTGATGTGATTAAAATTGTTGGAATGTTCGAGAATCTGTGCTTTGGTCACAGAGAAATGGAATTGTTAATGATAAGCTTAAAGGTCAATTTGTTCACCCAACAAAACTTTGTTCCTTCTCATTTGATGATTTTAAATAATTTTTTCCAACTATTTTATAGAAAGTGTCTTGATGAGATGTTATCTATTCTTCTGCATATTAAGTGGATTTTAAGAAGATTCTCAATACAAGCAGAGGACACCTACGGCGGCATTCTCAAAGCATTTCATAGTCAATTCAGCAGTTGACAGTTCAAAATTTCTTCTAATCCAAATTTCATCTTTGGCTAACGCACCGATAAATTGGTTCTAGCAGAGCATTAAGTAAACTATGGTAATTTGAATCGAAATCCATTTTCTTCATTTCTTTTCTGCTTATTAGCAAATGAACTATTTTGTTATGCTGCTTTTCTCAGTTTGATGTGTCGTTGACGATGAGTGCCACATGGATAGATTAGCTGTCTCATCATCGATTTAGCGACAGTTGACAATGACATGTCTCACTCCTAGCACCAGCCGTATTTTCTCTTTTACTTCAGAATCTTTTTTCCTATCAGAGCGGAAGGATTGCTCGGATGAAATAAGTTTAGCTATCTTCCTCTTCTCTTCTTGCTTAGATATATATAGATCGAGCTTCAACATTTGTGAGCTTTCTTTCAAGTCAAATTGACTGACCTCACTCACTGTTTCTCTTACTGATGGATACTTCCCGAATATCTCTCTTACTGATGGATACTTCCCGAATATCTCTCTTACTGATGGATACTTCCCGAATATCTCTCTTACTGATGGATACTTCCCGAATATCTCTCTTACTGATGGATACTTCCCGAATATCTCTCTTACTGATGGAGATACTTCCCGATAACCATAATCTTCAGTGAAAAAAATTTAATTTTAATGGGTAAAATTTGAAAAAAGTACTTAAGGCCATAATGGAATAGCTTAGGCATTATTTCTGAAAGTTTTTGCACCAGTAAAACCGATCATATCTATGAGAAACAATTAAAAGTCCCGACACGCTTCTCTCTCGTATTCAGTGAGATACGTGTAGCTATACGTGACATACTTCAATATGATTAACGTAGATTCCAGCTTTTTGTTTTCATAAGGAATAGTGAATTGCTTGTGCGAGTATTTATGCGCAAATGGTTGTGTATGCGAAGAAAAATCTAAGTGGTACAGGTAGCAGCTGGAAAAGTTCATGTCACGAAGTTCTTCTTGTAATTAGTTCAGCATCTAATTAATTCACCTGTCTATCAGCTCACCTGTCTATCAGCTCACCTGTCTATCAACTCACCTATTTATCGTTCTCATTTAATCGTGCACTGTAAATTGATGGATAGCAAATGTATGCAAGACGACATAGTCTAGCAAAAAAAATGGATGCAAATTCAAAAGCTTTTATAATTTTAATGTTTGCAAGCTCTCTCTCTCTCTCTCTCTCTCTCTCTCTCTCTCTCTCACTGTCCCATTTCATTTTGCTTATTTAATTTGATTAAAGTGATTAAAAGAAAAGAGATGACATTTGTCAGACAGTGATGACATAATACTCCAAAATCTAATTACTTGGCTGTTCTTACTTATTTGTACTTCAATTTTATTTGTAAGCAAATATTTCTAAAAATTCATTCTGCTTATTCTCTTCTTTTAATTTCTGTTCACTTAATTCAAAGAAAAGAAAAGATTCATTGTTCACCTTTTGTTGGATATATTCAGCAGCATATTAAATTAAATTAAATTAAATTAAATTAAATTAATGAGTACAATCTATACACTTCATTGCATCGTACTATCATTGAAGTTAGATTGACACACAATCCTACCTGTCTGATCGATGTTGTGACAAAGTAAAATGTTTTTTATTAGCTTTCAATTACAAGGCACAAAGAAGGATTTACTTCAAAGGAAAGAGCGCAACGCAAATGCAACAAACATTGATGGTTATAATTTATGAAATCTCCGTGACTAATATCAGATGACGTTGTACCCTTTGCTGAATATAAATTATCCACGGGAGAATGAATTGATGGATAAAGTTGCCCGTGACAGTATGGTAAAATTGACATAAAAGAGTTGGATCACTTAATGGAACTTTAATTACACTTACGTGAGAAGTGTCAATCATTGAGAAATTGACTAGGTGATAACTCCTTGCTTCTGCTAAATTTGTTTTTTCTTGGCTGCACCACAAGAGACTCTCGAGATGTTCCTTTAATTGAAAGCACTTTCAATGTCATTTCCGTGTCGCGTTTACATTAAATTTTAGTTTTCAGTAAGTTTTAATAGCAAGCAAAATGATAAACCATTGGCAAAATAATAAACAAAATAATCTTTTCTTAGTAAACAAAAAAACAAATTCAATCAATAAATAATGGAATGTGTCGTATTCCGTCCCTCTCACCAATTCCATTTTTTAATCAATTTGTCACACTGACAAATAAACCTTTTCCGCTAATCGATTTATAATTCTGTTATCATTTCTAACAGCCAATTTTTACAATGTGTGGACACTTTGCTCGTTTATTTATTTGCTCACAAACAGAACATTTTGTAGTTTATTTCGAGATAGCAATCCGATCGATCGATAATTTATCGATTGATCGGAAAACAGGCATAGTGACGTCAGCGACCTTCTTATTTGTTTGTAAGGATTTTGTGATCAGACAACGATACGATCAATCTAGAAGAGACATCTGGTTAAAGGCAAGGAATTGATCAAATAGTTGAGGCAAATTAAAAGGCTTAATCGAGACTTTCCACCAATTATTGTCTATAAAAACTTCAATTTCGTTATTACCAAGTGAAATCGTTTCTTTTTTTTTTCTTGCAATTCCAACATTTTAAAGTCAAATTTGGCTATTTCTCCATTTCTCAATCAAAATGCATCCCTTCCTAATGTTTTTTTCCATTCTTTCTCATTCACTATGAGCAATCGATTTTGCTGAATTTTATCGTTTTCCACTTTGTGCTCTCCAAAAAAAAAAAAAAAACAAGGACTCACCAAAATGTACTTTCGTTATACCTACACAATTAGTCATCGCTTAAAGAATTTTCGAGTGGAAAGTTTGCTGACAAAGTTTCACCATATAAATGACCCATTTACATTTAACTATGAGAGTGCTAGGCTTTACTGCTTTCTGTTTATTTTACGCTTTTTTTTTTTCTAGCATTAGAACTGTAAATAATCATTTAATTAAATTTAAAAATAATTAAGGATACGGATGCTTTTCTTTTTCTTTTCGAAACTCAATTCATACAATAATGTCATATTTTAATTTTTTGAGTGAAAAGTCTCTCTCTTCATTTAATTGAGGAAGCAGACTATTCCCTCTAATGTTACCTTCTCGAACATGCAAATATTTTCAATTTGTTCAATTTTGAAATTGACTATCACTTAACTTCAACTCACTAACTTTCACTCCTTCATGCATCAAAATAAACTTTTCTATCTAATAATTGATGACTGAAGTTTGAAGCGAATTAGCAGAGTATAGTAATGATATGATATGATATGATATGATATGAATGATGATATGATATGATATGATATGAATTATAATATGATATATGTTATGATATGATATGATATGATATGATATGATACGATATGATATGAATGATGATATGATATGATATGTTATGATATGATATGATATGATGATATGATATGTTATGATATGATATGATATGATACGATATGCTATGAATGACGATATGATATGATATGTTATGATATGATAATATGATATGTTATGATATGTTATGATATGATATGATATGATATGGTATGATATGATGATATGATATGTTATGATATGATATGGTACTTTCTATTCATTATTGATAATAATTAAAGTGAAACATAGCTGACAAAGAAAGATGAACAAATAATGAGCATAGATGGAGAACTATGTAACTCTAACATACATAGACGATACGATTGTATTTTGTGCTTAATGAGGTAAATGCTAATTAAGGCTAAGATTTCAGGTGAGACAGACTTACGTGAGTAAGGGTGAATGGCTATTGTCATCCTGTGTGTGTCTCTCTGGAAATAACTAGTTTACTCGATTTAGTCAAATGCTGATGAAAAGTTGTTTACATATGAATGATTGTTCGGGGAATAATTATGAAGATAGTGCAGCAAATTATATTCCAAATTATATTCCATAAGAGATAGATATACCCACTCAATAATGTCTCCGAAATCATCACCGTGATATTACTTTCCCAAAAGTAATTTACAACTTTCCCAAAAATTATAGATGCGCTTTCCTTGTCTCATTGACATTTCCATCGTTTTATCCCAGTCATTTTTCCATAAAAAGTTTCCAAAGTAATATTTCAACTAAGAACATTATCAATTCAAACGGAGTAATTTTTTTCTAAATTCGAAAATGAAATTGTGCTTCAAAAATATATTTGAACATATAATTCGTGTATTTGACATCCTTTCGATGCTGTCATATTCTCATCATTTTTGCTATTTTAGGAAAAATTTCCTTAGAAAAGTACAACTTGTCAAGTTTGAAAATATTCGGTAGTGAATACTCGTCGATTATTAACGAATTTTTTTTCCATTTTTCTTCACATATTATGCTTCAAATAAATTAAATATCCAATGCCACACGACACTCAATGTGTTTGTCAAATATGTGTGTGCGGGTAAGGCTTAAATTAAACTTTTGCTCATTTTTTACTAATTATAATAAAGCAAAATTGTTTTGAGACTTTTATTTTGTCATTTTTAAGATTGGAACACAAATAGTAGTGTATAATACATTTCAGAAGGATTTGTTTCAGGAGACATCGCTGCCCGAACAATCGAAATGCTAGCTCAATTTGCATCGGAACTTCAAATCAAAATACTTTTTATAAAAAGGTAAGTTTGGACTAAATTTTCTCGGAACAAATTTTTTGCGAACAAATCTGCCATGAGATGATTTCAAAATAGCAAACAAACAATTTTTCATCTACTTCAGGCAAAGATTAATCTATAATTAATAATTCTTTCATAATTTCTCTTCAAGAATTAGTAGTTCAGGAGTATGCCGTAATCACCGGTGATAATCAACCAAAAGTAATCAGGAAACCCGAGAAATCTTCCGTTAAAGATCACATTGATCTCAGTGATGGATGCATGATCAGTGTTTGCTTTTATGTTAATCCACTAAACAAAGACAATAATTTTTTTTTTTGTTACTTTCATAATGGAATTTTTATTTACATGAAAGGTTTCAATCCTTTTCTATGAGAACTTTTGAAAGTTTCCATTTATTTACTGCAACTGTAAAAGTTGTTAATTTCAGTAGCTATCTGAAAGGGTTAACTTATTGATGAAGGAGAAACATTCCAGAATGATCCTTCTGAGAAATATTTTTTAGAGTGTTATCAGTGAAAGTCAATACGCACAAGAAGGCGCAAAATTTGCAGCAAATGAAAATGCAAATGTGGCGCAATTTCACACAGATGCAAAAGAGAAAGCTGTGAATACTACGCGTATAACTTCGAGTGTTTTACGACGTCGAAATTATGAATCCTCGGTAGGGTATTATTGAAATTGGCGAGGAAATTCTCATATATGTCTGCGTTGTTGCGTATTAAATCTTTGGACTACAATGCTATAAAAAGGTTACCTACCTTATTTTTTCGATCTAAAACAAAAAGAAAAATCAGTCACCTATGATTCTATTTGACCTCTCACTTCTTGCTGATTCACGTTGGAAGAATTGCAAGTATTTCTTTCATTCTTTAATCAAAGTATTCGTTTTAAATTTGAGTCAAAACTGATGATTGTGAGTTAACGATTTCATTACGTCTCACTTTGTTCAACTGAACCTTTCATATCATCCGTTGTTGCCTTTTTAAAAAGCTTTAAGTAACTCGAACTTCCCTCAAATTTCATCTGATTTGAAATAATTTTGCAGATTGTTTTCGGAAGTGAGAAGGACAACAGTCAACCAAATGGAGGCAGAGAAAATAATTTTGCCCGTGAGGAATTAAAAAAATTAAGAAATGAATGGAGATTTCTCCTCAAATTCCTTTTTTAAATATGAGAGCTCAAAATTTGCCTTTTTGAAATTATGCCTATGACATTCAGTTGTATTATTTAGTAAATGTTTTTTGAGATTGATATCATTTGCAGTTACAGGTGAAAGGTCATTACGTCAGTACTCTAGCAACTATGAAGATCCTTTCAACGGTGACAATAAACATTCAGTTCTAGTTGGACGTCGAAAAGACCGACCAACTGAGACACGTGATAACGTTGGCTTGATTTTGCAATCGATTGATGTTAGCAGTTTAATTTTTGTTTAGGAAATTTGAAATCAACGATTTTTAAATCGTTTTGAAATATTCATATATACTGTTTAATAGGTTATGCAATTTTACTAGATGTTCATGAATTCATTTTTTTTCATTTTTCATCTTCTCCTTTCTATGATTTTCGATCTATAATTCAACACTAAACTACTAGAAAGAATTTATGAATTCAAATCAAGAAAATGCTTCAAATTTTTAAAGTGAAAAAGTGAGAAAGAATTATTTCATTAATTTTTCAAGAAATATTCTTTCATTAAGAAAAGTTTCTATAAATATTCCATTAAAAAAAATTGTTATGAATTTATCAACTCAGACGTAATTTTATTCTTTTTGACAATTAATTGAGATATTACTTGTTAAATATTTAAAGGCTTTAACTAGATAAGATATTTGAGCCAAAATGATTCGGTGAAGTGGTAAATCTGCAGAATAGTTCAGGTTTGTCCTGTTTAGTTGACATTTAATTAACTAAGGCAGATGACATGTCTGCATAGTCTTTTAAAAATAATAAAAGGTTATTGCGAATGATTAAGAAATCGTCTTCTCTTCCTTAATTAGCACATATAAACCACTTCCTTACTGACTTAGCAATCTTTTCATCATTTCATTTTCCTCCAAATATTTGCTTTCATCTTTTCTCCATCATTTATTTATTTCACTGAGAAATTCATTCCTTATATCTCTCTAAAAAATTTTCCACAAGTTTTTGACAACTAACAAAAGTGAAAAAATGTCCAATAATGAAATTATAACATTGTAAATTCTTCATTTAGTTTTAATCGAACAGATTCACTGATTTTTCATTTCTATTCTACTAAATACGTTTTCCAACTACAAACTGGAATTTATAAAATTGAATAGAATCTATGAACTAAAATTTGTTAATTCGACTAAAAAAAAAAAGAACAATTATAGTAATAAAAAAATTACTAAAAAAATAATAACACATAATAATAGGTCACTAAGCTTTTTGAACTGTGTAACTTTATCAGAAAAGCTCCATTAACAAATGAATATAAGAATAAAAGCTATTGGAAATGAATGTATGTTTAAGCTTGATAAGTTTGAACTAAGCTACTTAACACGTTTAAGAGAAGCGTACGTCAAAAAGATGAGACAGAAAGAAGTCACCGCTACAATAGAACAAAAGGGAGATACCAACATAGTGAGATCCTTTCTGGTGACAATATATCGCTACCACCAGTCTATGCCAGGTCTGAACATACCGCAAAAACCAACGAGCGAAGCGGAGTCAAACGATCTACCAAATCAGAAATATGGAAGGTAAAAAAATTTAAATCAAATAATGACTACAACTATTTAACTAGGCTATTCAAATACTATTTATAGCAAATATGAAAAGTTTCTGTCATTTTTCAGGCGAAAATATTTTAATATGGTCATATAGCATTAACCCAGAAAAATCCTCCTAGCAGCAAAACAAAATGATCGGAACGTTTTCAAAAAAAACTGATTAGAAAAACTGAAAAAAATAATGACAACAATCAAGCATTAAATCATAGGATTCCGATATTTCGTATGGTGACGGATCCTTCATATCGGAAACACAAACAAGTACTGAATTTACAGCGAAAAAAGGTGAACGATACGATGCGAAACGTCCAGTTGAATCTGATTTATGGAAGGTTTGCTTCATTTTAATTTAATAAAATCGTAAAATCTTGAAATTCGTCTAATTTAAAGCGATCGGATTGATTTCAGAGAGAAGGACATATCACCAGTGAAACGGTTTCGCATCAGGATTATGTAGGCAGGACAGGAGAGCGATATCCGGCATCAAAACCGCAAGATTCCGATGTTTTACATGGTGACGGATCCTTCATATCGGAAACACAAACAAGTACTGAATTTACAGCGAAAAAAGGTGAACGATACGATGCGAAACGTCCAGTTGAATCTGATTTATGGAAGGTTTGCTTCATTTTAATTTAATAAAATCGTAAAATCTTGAAATTCGTCTAATTTAAAGCGATCGGATTGATTTCAGAGAGAAGGACATATCACCAGTGAAACGGTTTCGCATCAGGATTATGTAGGCAGGACAGGAGAGCGATATCCGGCATCAAAACCGCAAGATTCCGATGTTTTACATGGTGACGGATCCTTCATATCGGAAACACAAACAAGTACTGAATTTACAGCGAAAAAGGTGAACGATACGATGCGAAACGTCCAGTTGAATCTGATTTATGGAAGGTTTGCTTCATTTTAATTTAATAAAATCGTAAAATCTTGAAATTCGTCTAATTTAAAGCGATCGGATTGATTTCAGAGAGAAGGACATATCACCAGTGAAACGGTTTCGCATCAGGATTATGTAGGCAGGACAGGAGAGCGATATCCGGCATCAAAACCGCAAGATTCCGATGTTTTACATGGTGACGGATCCTTCATATCGGAAACACAAACAAGTACTGAATTTACAGCGAAAAAAGGTGAACGATACGATGCGAAACGTCCAGTTGAATCTGATTTATGGAAGGTTTGCTTCATTTTAATTTAATAAAATCGTAAAATCTTGAAATTTGTCCAGCGACGGATTGATTTCAGAGAGAAGGACATATCACCAGTGAAACGGTTTCGCATCAGGATTATGTAGGCAGGACAGGAGAGCGATATCCGGCATCAAAACCGCAAGATTCCGATGTTTTACATGGTGACGGATCCTTCATATCGGAAACACAAACAAGTACTGAATTTACAGCGAAAAAGGTGAACGATACGATGCGAAACGTCCAGTTGAATCTGATTTATGGAAGGTTTGCTTCATTTTAATTTAATAAAATCGTAAAATCTTGAAATTCGTCTAATTTAAAGCGATCGGATTGATTTCAGAGAGAAGGACATATCATCAGTGAAACGGTTTCGCATCAGGATTATGTAGGCAGGACAGGAGAGCGATATCCGGCATCAAAACCGCAAGATTCCGATGTTTTACATGGTGACGGATCCTTCATATCGGAAACACAAACAAGTACTGAATTTACAGCGAAAAAAGGTGAACGATACGATGCGAAACGTCCAGTTGAATCTGATTTATGGAAGGTTTGCTTCATTTTAATTTAATAAAATCGTAAAATCTTGAAATTCGTCTAATTTAAAGCGATCGGATTGGTTTCAGAGAGAAGGACATATCACCAGTGAAACGGTTTCGCATCAGGATTATGTAGGCAGGACAGGAGAGCGATATCCGGCATCAAAACCGCAAGATTCCGATGTTTTACATGGTGACGGATCCTTCATATCGGAAACACAAACAAGTACTGAATTTACAGCGAAAAAAGGTGAACGATACGATGCGAAACGTCCAGTTGAATCTGATTTATGGAAGGTTTGCTTCATTTTAATTTAATAAAACCATAAAATCTTGAAATTTGTCTAATTTAAAGCGATCGGATTGATTTCAGAGAGAAGGACATATCACCAGTGAAACGGTTTCGCATCAGGATTATGTAGGCAGGACAGGAGAGCGATATCCGGCATCAAAACCGCAAGATTCCGATGTTTTACATGGTGACGGATCCTTCATATCGGAAACACAAACAAGTACTGAATTTACAGCAAAAAAGGTGAACGATACGATGCGAAACGTCCAGTTGAATCTGATTTATGGAAGGTTTGCTTCATTTTAATTTAATAAAATCGTAAAATCTTGAAATTCGTCTAATTTAAAGCGATCGGATTGATTTCAGAGAGAAGGACATATCACCAGTGAAACGGTTTCGCATCAGGATTATGTAGGCAGGACAGGAGAGCGATATCCGGCATCAAAACCGCAAGATTCCGATGTTTTACATGGTGACGGATCCTTCATATCGGAAACACAAACAAGTACTGAATTTACAGCAAAAAACGATACGATGCGAAACGTCCAGTTGAATCTGATTTATGGAAGGTTTGCTTCATTTTAATTTAATAAAATCGTAAAATCTTGAAATTCGTCTAATTTAAAGCGATCGGATTGGTTTCAGAGAGAAGGACATATCATCAGTGAAACGGTTTCGCATCAGGATTATGTAGGCAGGACAGGAGAGCGATATCCGGCATCAAAACCGCAAGATTCCGATGTTTTACATGGTGACGGATCCTTCATATCGGAAACACAAACAAGTACTGAATTTACAGCGAAAACAGGTGAACGATACGATGCGAAACGTCCAGTTGAATCTGATTTATGGAAGGTTTGCTTCATTTTAATTTAATAAAATCGTAAAATCTTGAAATTTGTCTAGCGATCGGATTGATTTCAGAGAGAAGGACATATCATCAGTGAAACGGTTTCGCATCAGGATTATGTAGGCAGGACAGGAGAGCGATATCCGGCATCAAAACCGCAAGATTCCGATGTTTTACATGGTGACGGATCCTTCATATCGGAAACACAAACAAGTACTGAATTTACAGCGAAAAAAGGTGAACGATACGATGCGAAACGTCCAGTTGAATCTGATTTATGGAAGGTTTGCTTCATTTTAATTTAATAAAATCGTAAAATCTTGAAATTCGTCTAATTTAAAGCGATCGGATTGATTTCAGAGAGAAGGACATATCACCAGTGAAACGGTTTCGCATCAGGATTATGTAGGCAGGACAGGAGAGCGATATCCGGCATCAAAACCGCAAGATTCCGATGTTTTACATGGTGACGGATCCTTCATATCGGAAACACAAACAAGTACTGAATTTACAGCGAAAAAAGGTGAACGATACGATGCGAAACGTCCAGTTGAATCTGATTTATGGAAGGTTTGCTTCATTTTAATTTAATAAAATCGTAAAATCTTGAAATTTGTCCTAATTTGGGGATTGGTTTCAGCGACCGGATTGATTTCAGAGAGAAGGACATATCACCAGTGAAACGGTTTCGCATCAGGATTATGTAGGCAGGACAGGAGAGCGATATCCGGCATCAAAACCGCAAGATTCCGATGTTTTACATGGTGACGGATCCTTCATATCGGAAACACAAACAA